TTCGAGCCATAGAAGCAGCAGCTCCCTATAGCTGGATATGAAATGACAAATGATGAAGAAATGTGTGTTTGTCTGATTGCATGAGTGAGAGATTCCATTTTTGATTTCCTCTGCCTTTGAGTTAAGATGATTACAACGATAAATATAAGTAATTGTCCAGACATGCAAATGACACAAATAGCAGCTGGATGTTTCTGATGGATATCTGAGGTGTGCTGGTGAAAACCAAACAAAGACAAAAGTACATGACGCAAATGTCCTGCAAAGCTCAGTGGGACATCTCATGTTGATTGCAACAGAAACAATTGTTCAAAAAGCCCAATCTGAATCCAGATAGTGAGGTTGAAAGGCGAGAGAGACAGCCTGCCTTTGTTCCGTATGTGAATGCTCAATCAGAGGTTTCTAAGAAAGTTGGTTCATGTTTTTCAATACATGATTACAGGACTGGTGCTTACAGTCAGTCATTTACAATGTTTTGTTCGCATTATAAGGACTCTAGCGTGCTTTGCGCCATATCTTCTTAAAAATTGCAAAATCATAATGAACATGTGGAGAACACAAGTTGAAATATATTGCAATAATGTTATCATTGACATGTTTCTCTTTGGTTTATGTTTAATAAAAACAAATACAAAGATAATGCAGGGTCTCTTTCAGCAATAAATGCAATTCAGAAATGTATGTTTTAAGTAACAAGCATATTCACCAGGTCTATTTGTCTGCTGTGACAAAAGGTCTGGAAAACTGGATTTTTTAAAACTATTTATAACGGTAACATAAAGGTAACTATTATAGAATGGAGTTAACTATGTTTAATTATGTATTGTCTGCCGGGAATCTTTATTCCACCATCACCAATATAACTCCGTAGCCTTCTCATTATAGATATTTTCACCTTTATAGGTGTTTTACAGCGTGAGTACAGTGTGTGAGTGTGTGTGTGTGTGTGTGTGTGTGTGTGTGTGTGTGTGTGTGTGTGTGTGTGTGTGTGTGTGTGTGTGTGTGTGTGTGTGTGTGTGTGTGTGTGTGTGTGTGGTGAAGGGTGTGGAGTGGGTTCAAAAGAAGAGCAAAGATATATTATGTCTGGGTGGTAATAGTGTTATATAATGTTAACTATGATAAATCAAAGCTTAAATATCCCCTTTCATCATTAGTCATGTGACATAGAGCCCCTAATAGAGTTTTCCACTGTTATATTAACTTGGGGAATTGTTGACACTGAGCTATAAAGGGATATCGTCTCTCTCATAAATACTGTATTGTCTCTATCTAATGTTGCTGACATTAGATAGAGACAAAGAGACTTTCTGACAGAGAAAGTAGACCGGTTTTATGTAGAGATTTATTTTAAGAAAACACACATAAGCAGAAATTGACTACACTTATATGGCTTCTCAAACGCTACATTGTCTCTGTCTACGCTTCATTCACTGACCCCCCCTCCATGGGGCACTGACACCTCTCGGGGGCTCAGGAGACCTCAGAGGCCAGGAGGGGGTTCACACACTATATTTAAACCACATGGAGACAGATACTTACTCAACCCTATCAGCCCTCCACGTTCTTTTCTATATCTATCACTCTCTTCTTCAACCCATTATGCCTACCCCATGTCGGCCCTTCCTCAAGGCCTCCATCGCAATCAAGTCTATCTTAATCCATCTCTGCCTGTCTTACTTCTTTCTTTGTTTTGTAATGCTTTGTTTTTCCCTTCTCTGTCAACCATACTGATCTCTACTCCTCCGGCTACTCTCTTTCAGACGTCATCATATAGAAGTGCTGGGGAATAGATGAATAGCTGGGCAGCTGAAAGGGTGATGTTGCAGGATAACACAGAGAATGTTATTGTGTACAATACTTATTTCAGAAGAATTCTAAAGTCTGACAGCTGACAGGGAAAAACAAGAGAGGTCAGGCGCATTTTAAAAAAACATATTATTTTTCCAATGTGTCTTCTATAATATGAGCCAATTTAATTAATGTTGTCTTAAGTTTTTTTATTTTTTTTTAATATGTATTTTCCTATTAGCACCATTTGTTTCATTATGACTCAAAGGAACTAAGATGTTCGAAAGCAACTTTTCTTCCCAGGTCAAAACCATATTTTGAGGAGCATTAAAGAATCAAATAAGAATATTTTTATCAGTAAAATGTATATGTTTTGCATCAGAAAACATGTATTATTTGGTTGATTTACTTGATTTAGATTAACAACATGTTGTGGTCAAGATCCAGATTAAAATAATACAAAATGTCAATGCGAATATTGGCACAGTATGAGAGACACTTCAACATCACACTGACCTCCACTTTGTTTCCACCGATTCCTACGGTTATTAATGAATAAAGACTTTTAATTAATATGCTTGCCCTGCCTTTAGAAATCTGTGTATCTCTTGATTTCTCACACAGTCTGTATTTTTCAGACATAGCACATAGCTTTTGAAATATTTTCCTCTCTTTCATGCATAGTGCTGGATGCCTCCCCTCAGGCATAGTCAGCTGTCTTTCCCCCTCCTCTCCCCCACTCCCCTTTTATAATGCCAAGTCGCTTATTGAAACATAAGGCTTGATGTGGGGAGGCTTTAGCAGAGGTTTTAAGGGGTCATATTCTGCCTCATTTGCATATATATGATCACACTGTAGCCCCTTTAGCCCCAAGGCAATATAGGATATTGGATGTACGGATGCTGTAACCTCCGGATGACATGCTCAGAAAGTCAAGGCTGAAACGAGAAGAATGAACACATAGAGGCTGGCCCTGACTTGAGATGTTGTTACGATTTAGTGCTACTGCTCAGTATATGTTATTTCTCCACTGGCTGTTCCCCAAATAAGTCAAGTCAAATGTACTTATTTGGCATTTTAAAAGCACAAAAGCATTGTGTATCTAAGTGCTTTCCAAAAAGGTGCTTACAAGGGCAGAAAAAGAGAGCACAGCCTGGGCATCAAAAGCAATAACAAAACATAATAAAAATAAACATGTAGATAAAATCACAAAAGGAGATCAATAGAACACGGGAAAAAAAGGATGTCAGCCACATGAGAAAAGCCAATAAATAAAAAGAGGCTTTGGGATGAGTTTTTAGATATATGGACCGATTCAGCTGATTTTAGTTATTCCACAACGCAGTCACTAACGCCCTTTCAGCTCCAGCCTCATCCAAGACAACCAAACATAATGCCAATACTATGGCTGAGTTCAACATAGGTTTAGGCAAAAGATGTAAGCTGTGGTTAATTATTATTATGCCGTTTAAACCAATTATTAAAATGTGTTTAAACCGCATCATGTAAGTTGCGCTGACAGGTGAAAGAGGTCCACACGCTGCTTCCCCGCAGCGAGGCTCCCCCCCCCCCCCCGTGACAGTTCACGATCGTCGGCACACTGATCCCAATTATTTTATAGCACTTCATATCAAAAAGGTTGCCGACCCCTGATCTACATCATGTTGCATGACTCCTGCCTTTGCTCTAAACCCACATGGGGAATTTTCACAAAAAGTGATCGAGTTGTTATAACTTAAAGGTGGGGTAGGTAATGTTGGAGAAACCGGCTCGAGATCGCTAGAATTTGAAAATACACAACCGGAGAAAATCTGCCACTTCCTTATAGAGCCCCTCCTCCAACACACACGAACGCGCACATGACCAATGAGGGCACGAGATAAGTTTGTGCACAGATGGAAGGCTGACAGGCAGGTAGGCCATCCAGTTATTTTAGCCGGGCCGGCTAAAATGATTGGTCGTGCTTTTTACAGTATTACAGCTTCCACAGATGACATTTTTCTATGGATTTTTTGTCAAAGCCCTTAAGATATTCATTGCTATCGGGATGTTAAGAGCATTCCATGGAATATAACAAAAAGTGTATCTCGAGCCGGTTTCTCAAACGTACCTACCCTACCTTTAAGGCCCATGAATCATAGTTAAAAAAAAAAGAAAGAAAGAAACTGGCAATAAATACAGTACGTGTCACCGTCAGCTGTAATGACTCAAATAAGAGATCCAAATGTTAAGACTTCTGGGTTTTATTTCCTAATTACAACATTTGAATGGCAATGCATCAGAGGGAACGTTAGCTAGCAAGCAGGTGCAAAACACTTTTGTCTCTAACTGACGATGTGTCGTGATTGGCGTCACTCATGTTCTTGTAAACATGGCGGTTTTAGGGGGGGGTCAACAGGGGCCAGTGCCGCTTTAACACAGAGCTTGGACCCCCCTGTGCCCCCCCTCCAAAAGAATAAATCTATGATAATGCAATTCATGTCAAATACTGAGTTACTGTGATGAAACATGGGCCAGAGTAGGGCTGTGCAATTAATCGTATTTTAATCTCGATTACGATTTTGGCTTGCAACGATTACGAAAACAACGTAATCGAAATAAAACGATTATTATTTTTATTAAAAAAAATATATATATATTTTTTTTTTTTTTTTTTTTTTTTTGGGGGTTTTCAGTTGAATTATACTTAAAGTTCAGGGTAATCAACTGTTAAAAACATACTGTTCACATTTTTGTTTCAATAAATCGATGTTTTCAAAGTAAATGAATAATCGTTTTTAATAATCGTGATATCAATTATTGACCAAAATAATCGTGATTAGGATTTTTGCCATAATCGCACAGCCCTAGGCCAGAGTTAACAGGGTTTTTTGGTAATGTCATCTCATGTTGAATCTAAGTTACTGAAACACATTTTGTGACTAAAACAAACCCCAACAAATATTATGAAATAAATTAAAAACAATTAGGCTGCATAAATAAAAAGAAAATTATACATTTGTATTTCATTTATTTATACCAAACTGAAAATGTCAAAATCTCCTTTCTGCATTAAAATGTGCCATTCATTAATTATTTTCCCGATCACGCCCCCCCCCCCCCATTTAATTAGTCTAGAACCGACACTGCTTGTAATCTCCATATTACAGTAGTTTTCTCATATTAGCACAAACAACACTATGGCATCTCAAAGACACACACAAGCCTCTTACCGGAGTGAAGTTCATGACTTTGAGGATCCAGATGGTCAGTGCGAGGTTGACGATCATGGTGACGAGGAGCAGGAGGATGAAGAAGTACAAGCATCTCTTCCTCCAGCCATAGATTCCCACCGCTGGGTAGACCGGGGCGCCGCACACCGACGCCCCCCGCTGGTGGAGTGGGTTGGGCTGCGCCGCGAGGATATACTGCTCCTGGGTCATCTGAAACAACACAAGAGTGAAGCAGTAAGAATCTTTATTTATTTTAGACATATCTCTGAGGCTTTCATTACGCTCCAACACTGTGCACCAATTTTGAGTAACTTTTCTTGAAAGTTATAATAGGTAATTCCATTCATTTAAAAATGTTCTAATTTCTCACTAGATATTTTTCATTTTGGGGTGAAATCTGCAATTACCCAGCTTGGCACATATTCTAGACCAGCATCACAGGAATTATTTTCAAGGAGAAAAAGACAGAGGGAATCCATTTAATGCAGAAACAATTGTATTCATGGCTGTGGGGAGGCTGGAAACAGGTGGAAAGGAAGAGGACAAGTAGAACAAAGAAAAGGACGGAGAAAGAGACTGAAAGTTTGGAAGCGAGAGAGCAGGGGCAAAGGTAAAAGAGAAAGACTGTAGAACGATAAAAATGAGATAGAGTTGGAGCGGTGAAGTGGAGAGATAGCACGTAATCGAGTAGTAAGAGATATAAAAGTGAGGAAGGGGAGAGAGACACAGAGAGATAGAGAGAGAGAGAGAGAGACAGAGAGAGAGAGAGGCTGAGATAAGACGTGGAGGAGGACAGAGTCCATTAGTTGTAGTGCAGCAGGAGGAGTCATTGGTGGAGAGAGATATGGACACTGGCTGCAAGGCACTGCTATCTGTCCATCTCTGACTCTCTTACGCTCTCTAACTCCCCTCACCATACTCTCTATACCTCAAACTCTCTCTCACTCTCCTCCCTCTCGCTCCCTAATTCACTTCCTATCTGGCCTGTGCTGCTCTCTCCCTCTTTATCAGTCTCTCTCACACACACACATTACATCTTTATTTGCTGAGGCTGCATGACCTTAACACCTCACTGACTGTTGATTTTCTCGCCCCTGCAATGCTTTTTCTCCATATAGTCTCACATGATGATACCAACAAGCCTTGATGGGAAACAAAGTTGCTGACTTTTGCTTTGCCTGCAGGAAAAATAAATAAACTGCAGACTTGGCCCGTTCAACTTTGTTGGGTTTTCAGCGGAGGAGTCTCAAATATCAATCTGTAATGTGTCTCCACATGGGTCCTGTTTCTCTTACAAAAGCAAAGCCCAAGGACGTATTGAGCTATTGATGTTGTGACAATGCAGAAAAACCTTCAAAACTTCAAAATCAGTGGCGAGCTGTCAGGGCCCTCTAGGCCCTCTCTGAGGGCCTAAGATATTCTACAAAATAATATTTAAAAACATTAAAAAAATAATTCATTCAATTCATTAGTTTTACCAAAATAACTTGATTTAATTGTATTTAAAATCAAATTTCCAAATAAATAAATACTTCGAATCTGCCTATTCAGTTTCTGTTGGAATGTGAAGGGTTAAATGAAAGAAGCTTGTCTCTGCGAGGTGAAGACAGGAGCTGATTGGTGGTCCTGCTATGAATTCACAGAGGGCCGCTATAGTAACTCAACGAGAGAGTAATGTCAAATGACAGTACAATTGACCAATCATATCTTCCCTCTAAATGGGTGGGCTTTATTATCGCGGACTTTATGACAAGTTCCGCCCGCTGGGAAGTTTATGCATTTGTTATAACAACGGGTCAAGCTAGGCGGAAGTAGCTAATTAGCATAAGTTCGTTTATGATGTCTCACGTCAGTGATAGTGATGACATCGTTTCGAAAATGTTAACAGAGTCATTTTCACGATTGAGTTACAATGATAAATAAATTGGAGTGGATCAACTGCATGACCCCGCCATCAAGTGCTTCATCCAAAAGGACAGGAGCAGGGCCGTCCCACCCCTGAGCGCAAGACCACCTTCGGTGTTCTGCTGTGTGCGCGCGAAGAGAGAGTCAGAGAGAGTGAGAGAGAAGTTCAGAGTTACTCGTTATTAATATGTTCGGATGGTTGCTCTGTGTTCACTTAAATAAAATAAATAAATAAGTTAATTTAGTGCTTTTCTAGCATATCGCACAGCCAAATTCACAAAAATGTGCAATTGTGTAAAATGTGTAAATTGTCACTGTTAGAAACCTATGATTATTCATGTAGGACTATTCCGTTTTAATCTGTTTAATCTCTGTTAAATCTGTTATTGTTATACAATGCGGTGCGCAGTTCAAGTGCGTTGTTATTGCTACCCGGCTGCGTCTCAATCAACAATAAATCGTCTTCTGATTAGAAAAAAACCTGCTGCATTTCGTGTGTGAAATCACACTTTATGCTGCGTTTCCATTACAGTTTAGGAACTGGGGTAGTATCTATAGCAGGGGTGCCCACACTTTTTCAGCTCGGGAGCTACTTTTAAAATGAACAACCCAAAAGATCTACCTACAGGGCCGCCCCTGCCCAATCTGTGTCGCGAGCGCGGGAGGGGGTGCTAGTGGACTAAACGGCGGATAAACTGTGGCGCGCTTACACTAATTGCTTCAGATGAGGAGGTGAGGCCCCCTCATAACTGCATGAACCCGTATGGCACAATACAACTCCGACTGGAATTACCTGTACGTCAATCAAGTGGCAAATGCCATAGTAAGGATGGATGATAGGCTAACTTTAAGACAAATTACCACACACTACCTTTGCGATCGTGATCGACGTATTGGGCACCCCTGATCTATAGTAACGCAGTGTAGGCGGAGCCGTGACGTCATCTTCAATGCGAAACACAAAACCAACATCAGCCGTTAGCTGTTAGCCCTCAGAGCTCACAGCTCCTCATATCTATTCAGAAACTAGACAAAAGTTAAACAAGTACAAACCACAGACTGTCTGTGTCATGGCGAATACAGTCGCTGGTTTATTTATGTCTGTAGGCCGTTGTTGTGAGTGTGGACGGTCGTAGCATAAACAACGTTAGCTTAGCCAATCTCCATTCAGAAAACACGCATTGTAAAAGGTTTTTCGCCTGCCGTCTGTCTGCAGACTTGGCAAAGCATTAATTCATGGTTTTTACTAATCGGTATCAGTATGTTGTTACTTCGGCATCATTTTGAAATGTGTATTACTTGCCAGCGCTTCTCTCACTAGTTTAGCATACTCAGCCCGGTTGTTAGCCCGGAAAGAACCTCGATTTTGGAGAGCCAGAAAACCATGAAAAACGACCCGCTAGCCGGAACAAAGCAGGCTGGAAACGCAACCAAAAACGGGCCGGGCACGCTTAAACCGCGCTCCGCGCTGTAGTGGAAATGCGCCATTAGTGTGGCGCAGCACGGTTTCGCCGCTGCGAGGCTCCACTAGCATCCCCCCCCGTCGACGCTCGCGAAACAGAGGGCCTCATCATATAACTTTGCGTGGGGCCTCAAGTTATTTTTAATTGTTACTTGGCTGAGGGTGTCTTGTCATGATAGGTGTTTATATAAATCCGAATAATGGTCGAAGTCTTGACTGATGATATGAATTTATTGAAATCTCCAATATCAACAGTCAAATCTTCAACCCTTATTCGGAGGGGAAATGCTACAGTAAGAGCTTGTGCCTCTTTGGGGGGTGCTAACACTTAAACATAAACTTTATCCTTTACTTTCTCCGTCTTTATATGTAGATATTACTTTTCTCCGTTAATCTCCGCTCCTTTACTCCGTCACATTGTTTCCTGTCAACAGCGTAAACTTGCCTTCAAAATAAAAGCATGTCCATACAAAATAGGAAGCCAAGCCAAATTACACTTAAGACATATACAACTGCACCGACAGTAACAAAGACAATGCAATATCCTTTTCAATTTCAAAGGACACAAATTGGGTTATTTACAGGTGTTGTTTTGTGTGGTGGAGGGTCGCTGTCATTGATGCGTTTTGCATCCCGGGCCCTTGTTTTGATATTCCGCTGAAGTATACGCAGTGACATAATAACTCTTTTTTTTCGGGGTCAGAGGGCCTGGGTATAAAAGTCACGGCTCGCCACTGTTCAAAATGTTACTGCTGAATACGGGAATATAACATCCAAGCATAGAAACTGTATATTCTTCTATCCTTATGTATTTTTAAAATGTAACTTTTATGTCGTTAACAGCAAATCACCTAGCAGAAAAGATTATATCAGCAAACTAAGACTAACCTAGCCCTGCTTTTCAAGTGAAAATCCCAATAATCAACTAAAGTAACTAAAATGATGGTGTTGCTCAAATAATAACAGACTGACCAGTCCATCTACATGATGATATGTTAATGAATATAAGTGGCGTGTTTTCATTCACACTTCAGGAGTGTTTTTCAACTGATTTAACCAAGATACTTGATTGAACTTAGATAAGATAAATCAAATCAAATCAAAGATGCAATAAAGATTTATTCAACCAAAATATATCTGGAAACACACAGACATGTGTATAACTGCATTAACTATGAAGTGAATAAGTAGCAAAAGCAAAACATTTGTTAAAAATGGATAACACTGCTTTTAATATCAGATTGAAAGCAGGTGATGAAGTGATATGATAAATATCACAATCCGTTTTTTTCTGGCAAATGAAATATGGAGCTGATATTAATGTGCATACCAAATATGCATTTAATATTTGGACCCAATGAAATCCAATTAATTCAGACCTAGGCACAAGCTGGATATGAGATGCATAGTAATGCCAACAGGAAAGAGCTTAACGTTTTTCAAGTGGGAGGATGGATTGATGCTGTTTTCCCTTTTCACAGTGAGGAAATGTTCCTGAAATAGTCTCAGCTGCTTCATCTCGTGCACCTTTTGTACGCACCTTTTCACTCTGTACAGATACAATGCAATATGTATCAATAGTATTGCTGTGGAATAGAGCATTGGATGGGCTGGTGATAATTGTATCTCAGTATTCAGCATCCACACTGAATCAATAGCAGAGAGTGTGTGTGAGCGAGTACCTGTATGCTGTTTCTCTGCAGTGCCATGGAATGCTAATCATTTTACTTTTTGCATGTATCATTGGTGTGAATAAATAGTTGCACACATTAATATGTGTGTGTGTGGGTGTATGCTTTTGCATGGGTGTTTCTCAAGGGCAAGAATATGAATCAGCCAAGGA